ACTGTATACACAACCATACCCATCAATCATACATCTGCTACATTGTCTTTTTGTATCTTTGATTAGTTGGTGGACAGACTGCTAACACCTCACAGACAGATTAGTGTAGGACTGTTGTATGCTACCATAGCCAGTTCTAACTAATGCTGTTGTAAGTGAACAAGTCAAAGTGCATTTAGACTATGTAGACAAACTGTGTGAATGTTGTAGACATGCCACTTGATCGGTATAGTAGGGGACTTGCCGGACATATCCATTTCTAGAAAACTATGTGCCGGTCAGACACATGCTGCGGTAGGATACCATTAGGGGATTCTAGTGCAGATAAAGTCTGCCTAACTCATGAGCGGATCAGACGTCGATGAGGAGAGAGTTGACGATGGTAGATTAACACGTGCAAGATCAAGTAGGATCCCGTACGTGTTCAGGACCCTAGACGAGGGAGAAGAAAGACGGCTTCGTGCCGAACGCAAAGCCCGTGCTTTCCCAGCATCGAGAGAAGCAGCAAACCTTGCAGCTAGGGAACAGGCTGCAGCAGCAGCCAGGGCAGCAGCCATGACTTCTTCAGCAGCATCCTCCGCTGCAACTTCTGCTGCGTTCTCGTCTGGACCCCAGTTTGGAATGCCAAGAGGGTCCACTGACACTTCCAGTTCAACAGGTTCTAGACAATCTACAAGTCAAATGGCGGGCTCGCAGTACAGCCCGTTGACTCCTCGCAAAAGGGAGATGAGAGAGCTCCAACAGGTCAAAAGGATCCGTGCACAGTTAGAGAAGGATCTGAAAGAGGCTACCGATAGAGAAAAAGAGATAAAGAATAGAACAGCCAGGCTTGAAACGTTGACAAGGCTGACTTGGAGGGCTTCGACGATTCAGGAATGAATGAGCCCATGAAAGTGTCGAGGAACAACATGCTATAGCTGCATGCGCATGTGGACAGCAGGTTGGACTTCATGCAGAGCACTTTGGACCAGATTCTGGACATCCTAACAAGGCCAGGATTTAGGCCACCGGCACAATCGTCGTTGCCGTTATCGGCGATGTCAGGCCCTTTTCCAGTTCAAGCTGGTTCACAACCAAGTGGTACATCCGCAGCAGCAGCACATACTTTTGCATCTTCTTCTTCGCGTCCGGTGGTGATTGCTACATCACCACAACAACCTGTTCAACAATCTGGACAGCAGCAAGGTCAATGGTACCCCAAGACCCCAATGAAACCGCCTCTTGCCTTCTCAGGCGAGAGAAAGGACGAGGAACTCAACACATGGTTGAGGACGGTCCCGATTTGGGTGAAGGCCAAAAGGACCTTGCCAGAGGATGAGGTGGTAACTGC